AGAAAGCTCCAGAGCTGGGCTGCACAACATTGTGGATATGCTTAATACTACTGAATTGCACACTTCAAAATGGATGAGATCAGTGGCGCCTGGGTGGCACAGAGGGTTAGGCCTCTGCCTTCAGCTCAGGTCATGGTCTCAGGATCGTGGGATCGAGCCCGGCATCGGGCTCTCTGCTCGGCAGGGAGCCTGCTTCCCCCTCTCTCTCTGCCTGCCTCTCCGCCTACTTGTGATCTCTGTCAAATAAATAAATAAAATCTTAAAAAAAAAAAAATGTCATGATCCCCTGCCCAGTTCCTATACCTAAATTGTTTGCAGACCTGAAATCTGTTGAATGAAAATGTGGATGAGTCCCTAAGAGGAAGGACCCTACGACAAGTATATGTTGTAATAATTCCACCAACCCTTCTCCCAAAGGGACTTAACAGCCATTTATTCGGGCAACTGGAACTAGGGGAGGGGGAGTATCCAGCAGGACATAGAGTCTGAAATAAGCCTGATATTCAGAGACCTGAAATGTCACTGTGGACATGGACTACTTTGTGGACTGGACTGATGGGCTCCTGGGCCATCAAAATGGAGTCCTGGCTGAAGTCCATCCTAAGAAGCTCCACGGGTCCATGGCCCCACCTGGTGGTCGTTGCCCCATTCCTGAAGGTGTAACTGGAACTGATTTTGGCTATTCGGAAAGCCCCTACTTTGGGTCTGTTGTCTTGTATGGTAAGAGCTATCACAGTGGGGAAGCTTCGGAAGCTGCGCCTCTCTCCCCACTCTCACACCTCTAAGGCAAGATGGTAAATAAAAAACAATACCACAGGACAAACTGGTGGATGCCAGAGAGGAGGAGAGTTGGAGGGAGGGCAAGAAGGGTGACGGGCAGGGGATGGTCTAGGCTTCCAATTACGGAATAAGTCATGGGGATGAAAGGGACAGCATAGAGAATACAATCAGTGGTACTGTTAATAGTGGTGTTGTATGGTGACAGATGGTAGCTACGCTTGTCGTGAGCATAGCAGACATCAAGAGTTTTGGAATCACTTTGTGGTATATTGAAACTCATGTAATATTGTGTCAACGCTACTTCAGTTTAAAATATGGGCGCCTGGGTGGCTCAGTTGGTTAGGCGGCTGCCTTTGGCTCAGGTCATAATCCTGGAGTCCTGGGATCGAGTCCCACTAGCTCCTAGCTCTGCGGGGAGACTGCTTCTCCCTCTGATACTCTCCCCTCTCATGCTGTCTTTCTCTCTCAAATAAATAAAATCTTTAAAATAAATAAATATGGGCTCCACCATGGCTCCCAAAGGCAGTCTGAGGAGAATCTGCTCCTCCAGGATTTTGGCTCTCAGCCAAGCCCTCCACGTTTTTCCTCAGGAAAGCCTTCATCGTGTCCACCATCCCCATCTAGTAGCACAGAAGAGGGAGGCTACTGTTTCCAGAGAACTGACTTGAAACCTTCTGAAGCTTTTATCAGAAAGATGTCTCGAGATGAAAAAGATGAAAGAATCTCATGGAAGAAGAACGAAGGTGCTGATTATGAAGCTACAACATTTTCCATCTTCTGTAACAACACCCTATTCCTAGTCTTGGTCATCATTGCTTCCTTCTTCATACTGATGAACTTCAACCCCACAGTGAACTCTGTTTCGTCCATAAGAGTTTCATCAGGCCTCAACACCCTCCTGTCTACTGGCTCCAAGTAGACCATGCCGGCTTTGCCCCGGGGCTGTGTGTCCACGGGTGGCGTGTGGCATATGGAAAAGTGGCAGGGCGGTCAGGGTGAGAGTTGCACAAATGTTTGTACAGTTTGAAAAACCCAACAAAATGTAATTCAATGTTTGTTTATTGATTCTTTTTGACAGACTGTTGAAATTAAATGAATTGAAAGGGGAAAAAAATTGGGATGCCTGGGTGGCTCAGTCGGTTAAGCTCCTGCCTGTGGCTCAGATCATGATCTCAGGGTTGGGATCAAGCCGCATGTCAGGTTCCCTGCCCCACATGAAACCTGCTTCTCGATCTCCCTCTGCCGCTCCCCCTGCTTGTGCTTTCTCTGTCTGACAAATCAATAAATAATCTATTTTTAAAAGGGGGAAATTAATTTTAAAATATATATTATATATACATATTATATATATAAAATGGGAGATACATTTTATATATATTACTTATATATATATAATATATATAATATACTTATATATATTATATATAATAATATATAATAAATATATAAAAATAATATATAATTTATAATAAGTAATATATTGTAATATATTTGTAATTATTAATATTATTAATTATTACATATTATTATGTAATAATATATTATATATATACACTATATATATATAGTATATATAATATATATATATATATTTTGGAGAGAAGACAGAAATCAGCGCCACCCTTAAGGATCGCAAGGGATAGCAGTATCTATCATACCTGTTTAATTCGCCAGTCTGGTTCATGCAGAAAACAGATGCGTCCTGGAGAACGACGATGACTACAGCCAGCTCAGCTCAAGCCCTGATTGCAGCTGCCCCACTGGACGTGGTCTCTTGCTAAAGCAGATAAATATGGCTTCAAGTACATGACATGTGGCATGAATATGACATATGCATTCTTCTGTAACCCAATCAGGAAAAGGACCAGAAACAGCATTCACAGGGACTGAACAACATTCATTTAGGTTTGTCCCCAGGCTATACCAACTCTCCCAATCTATGTCATGGTATATTCAGAAAAGCTCTAGACCATGTGGACATCCCAGCGAACGCCACACTGATCCACCACATCAATGATATTGTGCTGATGGGAGAGCATGAGCAAGAGGGGGCTAGCCCCTGGATGGCTTGGCAAGACACAGTCACGCAAGAGAGGGTCTGTTGTCTTGTGTGGTAAGAGGATGCTGTATAGACTCTATGAAGATTGTAGGGACCTCCCCCGGCAGTAGTTTGGGGGATCCAGGAGTCAGAGGCATGCTAGGACATCTCCTATAAAGAAAAGACAAATTGGGCTGCATATCACATCCACTAGGAAACAATACTTCGTGGACCTCTTTGTTCTGGAGACACTATGTTCGCTACCTAGAAACACGGCTCTAGCCCCTATCCTGAGTGACATGCAAGGTGCGGGCTTTGAGTGGGGACTGAGACAGGGATACTGAGCCTGCCCAGCAAAAGGGGGTGGAATGCTGCTAAACACATGGAGCAGGCATATGTGTGGAACTCAGGTGATCTCCGTGGGTACCTCTTGGCACTCTGTTGCCTAACTGTGATAGGAACGGCAAGCGCAGCTCAGCCTGTGAAGGGTGAGGTCATCGGGGCTCAGACCGCCTGGAGAATAAGGGTTTGGGTTACTCCACCAGGCAAGCCATAAAGACCAGCAGAGATGAGAGTGGAATTTGGAGTGGATAATGGAGCAGGGAGTTACCAGTCACAGCCCCAAGACCAGCTATGGCAATAGCCTGTGGTTAACCCACAGACCATCCTTTTCTAGGTCCCTTTAGGAAGAGAGCTCACTAGGACCCCAGAAAGGCCACCCCCACCCCCTGAATGTGTCCGGAGAACGGACCCACATGGTACAAGGGAAGGACTGTCGTAGCCATGGGGAAGCCCTGCTTGGATCTGTCTTCAGGACAAGAGCACTCAGCTGTCAGCCTCTGGCTGGTAGAAAGTTCAGGATCTGTCTCAGTTTTCAAGCCAAGGCACAATCCTCCCAGGCAGCCCCCCACCAATGACTAAGAGCAACGTGAGGGGTCACGAAGGCCCAGACATTTCTGCCCAATGGGACTCCCTCTCACAAGACACCTTGGCCCTGGAGTTCCCCAATGGTTGCCCAAGGTATTATCTGCATTTCAGACTGAGGCTCTCCCTGACCAATCCTGCTTCCTTTCCCCTTTTCTTTCCTAGACATACACCACCTCTGATACCTCTTACACTCACCACTCCAAAGCATCTACTTCCCAGAGGACCCAACCAACACACCTTCCTTCCTCTTGCCCTCCCCAGTGCCACTGGCTAATCCAACCGCAAGGTGTTTGGCTCTAAAAGCATATCTGGTATCTGACCATTTCTCTATCTGTCCTCTGCCAGGCCCTTACCTGAATAACGGCATGGCTTCTCTCTCTCTCTCTCTCTCTCTCTCTCTCTCTCTCTGCTTCAACTCTTCCCCATTCAGCAGCTGGAATGTCTTCTTAAAGCAATTCATGTAATTTGCCTACTTAAAATCATCTAAGTGTCATATCACTCTACAATAAAAATCCAATAAAAATCCAAACTCCTTTTCCTGGAAAATAAGACCTTTTATTATCTCACCCATGCACATCTCCCACCTTATGTTATCCCAATCCAGCCACACAGACCTACTTTCTATTCTTCAAATACACCAACCTCCTTCCCACCTCAGGCCCTTTACCCTTGCTATTCCTCTGCCTAAAAAACCCTCTAGTTCTCTTTCTTAAAATCTTTATTCAAATGTCAGCTCTTCTGAGAGCTCTTTACTGGTCACTCTGTCTCTTCCAATGGAGCACTCTTTCCAGTGGAATCGCTCCCTGCCATTTCACTATTTGCTTCCTTCAGTTCCTTCCAACAATGACCACAGCCTAATCATTTGCCACTTTTGCCTTTTCATTCTCTCTCTCCTTGAGCAGAATATGGGCCCCACAGGGGCAGGACTCATTCACTGTTATACCCCTAGCACTTTGCACACACATGAGAATTATTTGCAGAATGAATGATGAAATAAAGTCTTACCCATCCCATCCATACCTCTGCTACATTGATCCCACTATTTACTTATATATTGATATATCTTGATGGCCCCATCACAGGTTTTTTTTTTTAAGATTTTATTTATTTATTTGACAGAGAGATCACAAGCAGGCACAGAGGCAGGCAGAGAGAGAGAGGGGAAAGCAGGCTCCCTGCTGAGCAGAGAGCCCGATGAGGGGCTCGATCCCAGGACCCTGGGATTATGACCTGAGCCGAAGGCAGAGGCTTTAACCCACTGAGCCACTCAGGCGCCCCTCCATCACAGTTTTTCAATAGCATATTCTTTTACACACAGTAAGAACGAACCCTGTATGGAAAATAGAACAGGGATGACCCCCAAATTAAGTTAAAAAAAAAAAAAAAAGAAAAACCCTGAAGCTGACAGAAATAACCAAGCTAGAAAGCGCCAAAATCTAAATCTAAAATCAGGTTTTGGGAAATGCAATGATGTCTGACCCCAGTGACCACAGGTAGACCAAAGTTCACAGGTTAAAGGCACAGTCCTCACAAGGTTGCCCTCACTTAAGTCACCAGTCACAAATTCAAGGGTCCCACTACCTCCTCAAAATAATTTGCTAGAACTACTCACAGAACCCAGGGAAGCACTGTACTTAACAAGTAAAGGGTTGTTTTGTTTTGTTTTAAGATTTTATTTATTTATTTGAGAGAGCATGAGTGGGGCGAGGGTCAGAGGGAGAAGGAGAAGCAGCAGCAGTGGAGCCCCACTGAGCAGGGAGCCCAATGAGGGACTCGATCCCAGGACCCTGAGATCCTGACCTGAGCCAAAGTGAGACACTTACCAACTGAGCCACCCAGGTGCCCCACAGTTAGTTTTATTATAACAAAAGGCTACAAATCAAAACCAGCCAACAGAAGAGACAAATGGGATGAAATCTGGGAGGGGCCCAAACACAAAGCTTCTGGTCATCTCCCATGGCGTCCTGGATGGCATTACCTCCTCCTGGCTACAATGTGTGACAACCCTTGAGTGTTGCCAACCAGGCACACTTCTCCAAGTCTTTGGTGTCCAGAGTTTTTACTGGGGCTTAATCACACACCACCCACACTGCTGACCCAGAGTCTTCAGTTCCTCTGGAGGTTGGAACAGATACAGCTTGTTCCAAAGTCGTCACAAATCACCCTGTCACACTGTCCAGTGGCCAACCCACCCCCAGAGCAAAGACACCCTTATGAAGGAGGACTTTCTAGATGCCTAGCAATCCCCTCCCGGGAGCAGAGGGCAAAAGCCATAGTTCTGCTTCAACTCCTCCCTTTACTTTGGGTAAAGTTAATTCTTCACTATGTAGAGGTGTTCTACTGTTTTTTGGTTGTTTTTTGTTTTTTGTTTTTAATTCCAAATCTAGCGCTCTGAAAACACTCTTCTGTCTAATCTTTGATCTCTGAGTCGTTGCCCCATCCCTCCTCTCTTAGAATCTGCTCCAGGTCACATTTGCCCTAGAGAACTAAGAAGGATGAGCAGACCAACAACAAATTATGGCCCCAAGATAGCAAGAGGACTTCTGTAAGCAAAGTCTTCATTATCAAGCAAGAAATATGCTGTTTACGAAGGAAACTATTACAAATTATTTTTTCACATGATGTTGTGGTTTCCGTTAGCAAGGAAAAGACCAAAACAATGCCAGGCAGTGACATCAAAGTAACAGAACCAATCCACTTGACCTTCTCTGCTGATACACCACAGCACCACGGCCTGTAATCCCCTCCAGATCAATGTGCCAAGAAAATGCCAGTTCCTTAGTGGAATGAAAAATTCAGAGGATTTTCACTGATGGGGGTGGTATGCATTACACACATGGGTATGTGTGTATGTGGCTTCCTTCTCTCGCTTTTTACAAAAGGCAATTGTGATTATTACCTTTTGAGTAAAAGTTGTCACCAAGCTGTCATTAAAAACAATTTGTTAAATCTTCAAATGGCAAAGTATGTTTTATCTTTGATTGTAACTGTTTATTCACTTTTCTTCCAACTAGATGCTGACCAGCTTACAAAAAGATACTCAATAAACATTTCATAATGAATGTCTACACAGGGTTATCGAATTCAAATTTTAGAAAAAGATAGTTACAAATGTACAATAAAAGAACAAAAACCTAATAACAATAATGAAAGTATAAAAAAGGCATTGAAGTTGTTGACCAAAGAGCCAGGTTCCCACTCTGGCTCTGCCCCTTACTGAGTATTTAACCTTGGGTGAGTCTCAATTCCTAAATCTATTTCCTCATCTGCAAAGTGGAATTTCTCCCATTTGCTCTGCTAACCTCAGAGGGTTAGCATAAGAATCAAATGAGCCAATGGATTATAACGTGTTTTGCAAACTGTAAAATACCTTGCCAATGGTATTTATTTTTTTCAATGAAAAGTTGTTTTAGGGCGCCTGGGTGGCTCAGTGGGTTAAGCCGCTGCCTTCGGCTCAGGTCATGATCTCAGGGTCCTGGGATCGAGTCCCGCATCGGGCTCTCTGCTCAGCAGGGAGCCTGCTTTCCCCCCCGCCGCCCCCTCTCTGCCTGCCCCTCCATCTACTTGTGATCTCTCTCTGTCAAATAAATAAATAAAATCTTTAAAAAAAAAAAAAAAGTTGTTTTAGGGGTTCCTGGGTGGCTCAGTCACTTAAATATCTGCCTTCACCTCAGGTCACAATCCCAGGGGCCTAGGATTGAGCCTTGCATCAGGCTCCTTATTCAGTAGGGAGCCTGCTTCTCACTTTCTTCCTGCCCCTTTCTGCTCATGCTTTCTCTCTGACAAATAAATAAAATCTTAAAAATAATGTTTTTTAGGGGCGCCTGGGTGGCTCAGTCAGTTAAGCATCTGCCTTCCCCTGGGGCCATGATCCCAGAGTCCTGGGATCGAGCCCTGCATCGGGCTTCCTGCTCAGCAGGAAGCCTGCTTCTCCCTCTCCCACTTTCCCTGCTTGTGTTCCCTCTCTCGCTGTGTCTCTCCCTGTCAAATAAATAAATAAAATCTTAAAAAATAATAATAATGATAAAATAAAATAATGTTTTTAAAGTGACATGCAGCGATGCCTGGATGGCTTAGTCAGTTAAGCATCTGCCTTCGGCTCAGGTCATGATCCCAAGGTCCTGGGATCAAGCCCCGCATCCGGCTCCCTGTTCAGCAGAGAGCCTGCTTCTCTCTCTCCCTCTGCCTGCTGCTCTGCCTGCTTGTGCTATCTCTGTCAAATAAATGAATAAAATCTTTTTAAGAAATAAAAAAAAAAGGGGCACCTGGATGGCTCAGTGGGTTAAAGCCTCTGCCTTCGGCTCAGGTCATGGTCTCAGGGTCCTGGGATCGAGCCACGCATCCTCTCTCTCTGCCTGCCTCTCTGACTACTTGTGATCTCTGTCTATCAAATAAATAAATAAAATCTTAAAAAAAATAAAAAATTTTAAAAAGTGACGTGCATTTCACTAGGATGCAAGTTATTATTGGGGAAAACAGACTCGAGAATTGCAAGCCTAGGCAAACTAAAAGTTGGGCAGTTCTCTCTCACCTCATCAATTCTGTAAGTAGTCTAGAGGAGACCTATTCCTGCTCTCTGCTATTTATTATTTCTGTGTATTTTCTGAGTCTCAGTTGCTTTACATCAATCTCTCTGAGCCTGTTATACCATCTACTACCTAGAAATAAAACAGGCCTTCTCACCCTGGATGGTTTGCTGGGAGGCTTATATAAGATCACTGTTGCTAAGGTCTTTTTGCCAGCCACAGAGTGATATACAATTTGGTAGCATTTTCCTAAAGGTGATAGGTAAGAAATTTGGTAATATTTTCCTAAAGGTGATGAACTTTCAGGAATCGTTTAAATAAAGTGCACAGGCTGAGGGTATGAGAGGCTTACTCTGGCCACTGGCCGGCACAACCCAGGAAAAAACAGACTAGGATTCACTGTCTTGGACTGGATCACACATTGCCTTATACAAATTCCATTCTGTGAAGCCCTTAGAAAAAGTAAAATAGGTCCTTTCACATCCATTGGCTTATTCAACCTTCCCAGTACTTGTGCCAACCAAGACTTATTATGCCCATTTTACTGATAGGGGAACTGAGGCTGGAGATTTTTCCAGAATCATGCAACTGGTAAATGGGTACATCTGGGATGAACTCTTCCAACAGCAGTGGGAGAAGACACAGGTGCTTAGATAAAAAACGTGGCCTCACACAGATGGCCCATTTCTCATTCTTTCCTGACGTAACTTTCTATTCAAGCCATTAAACCTATCTTCTGTCTTTTACAAATCCTTCATGTTTCTCACTCCGGCGAGGGTCCCCAGAGGAACAACTACGATAGCAGGCAGATTTAGATGCAATAGGGTGACAGCTTTGGAGGGGCAAGAAGACATTCTACAGGAGGGGAAGGTGGTCAGTGTTCACACATCCTCCCCTGAAAAAGCTCTAATTGCTGATGGAGTGGGTACTGTCTGTTAGAAATGCCCAGCTCTTACGTCACATTCCGATTCTACACATGGGCCCAAAGGTCTGTATAAACACCCACTGCTCTCCCACCTCTGCCTTCATAAATATGTCACCTTCAGCCTTAGGCAAGTCAAGAACATTCCTCAGTCACAAAAATGCTAGGGTTCCCTGTTCACGTGTAAACCCCTTTTCACTACCTAGAATTCTTCCTTCATTAATTCATGTGTCTGCTCTTATTTAAAACCTAATTCAAATATCAAAAATTGGAAACAGCTCTTAAGTCCATCAGTCTGGAGACCAATATAAATAAAGATAATACATTAATTCAATGGACCATTAAGCAGTCATTAAAAACATTAAAGTAGATGTGTTAAAACTGCCAGAATACAATGTTTCAGGGAACTAGTAAAGGGAAGAGCAGGGTGCACAGTATGTTCCCGTTTTTATAAAAAGAGGGATATTAAATATTTTAGTATTTATTTCAATACAAATAAATATTATTTTTGCAAAAATATTAAACACAACACATACCTCATTTTATTGTGCTTTGCCTTTTTTTTTTTTTTTTTTACAAATCGAAGGTGTGCGGCAGCCCCTCATTGAGCAAGTCCATGAGCACCATTTTTCCAACACCACTTGCTCACTTCATGTCTCTATCACATTTTGGTAATCCTCACAATATTTCAAACTTTTTCATCATTATTATATTTGTCATGGTGATCTGTATCAGTGATTACAACTTGCTGAAAGCTCACATGATTGCATTTTTTAGCAATGAAATATTTTTTAATTAAAGTATGTACAATTTTTGAGATACAATGTTA